GTATAGTCATTGGGTAAGAGTGGCTACTTCCTGTTAGTGTTTCAACTTTCTTTTCTATCTAAGTGAGTTTTGAGTTCGTCACGTGCATAATGTTAAATTCCTCGATTAGGCATAATTGTCTTAGTTTGTCGAAACTATTGCCAATATGCATCGAATTATACCGTCGATCAAAATAAACCTCTTTTTCGTGGGCAAATTCCATATAAGTTTCATTATCTTGTTTGCGATAACCTATAAACTTTTGGCGATAAGCCTCTGGTACTAGCTCATATGCTTTGAGAATAGCTGCTTTAACCTTATCATAATTCGCACAATCTTTTAAAGGCTTCTTGTGATTTAACAATTAAGATATTTTGTAATAATAATGACCATTTTTCGGTGGGCCCTCTCCATGGTTTGGGCAACCTTCTCAAAATGTTGGAAACATTTATCTACTTCATTTTCATTCGACGTTGGTACTTTAACATATCGATTAAGTTCAAAGTTGTTATTTTGCCTTGGTCGATCGCAGTTAAGTCTAAATTTCCATTTCTTTCAGCCTAATTTCTTTCTCGGCTTCAATTCGAGTTTGTTCTTTCTCGGCTTCAATACGAGCTCGTTCGTTCTTGTCTTCAATACGAGTTTGTTCGAACTCGATTTGTTTGAGTTTTAGCTGAATCTAATCTATCTTTATCACTTAACCCCGATTGGCTAGTAGGGACACTAGATTAATCCCCAATGCTTCCTCAGGCAACAAACCATCATCGACTAATATTTTGATAATACGTTTTTTTCAGTTCATTTTTCTCATTGACCTTTTAACTTCTAGTTCTAAAACTTGGGTAATTTCGAGCAATTCATTTTTGTTATATTTTTTTAGTTGTTCTAGGGAGAGTGATACAAGAAAATCTTGACAATCCGCCATGATCAAATCTTGTTAGCACTGATAAATATAAATTCAATGATGATTTAAATTATAATTTACATCAAATTTTGTCTCTGATTCAGATCTCGGATACGTATTGAGAATTTAAAATAATCCAAAGCCAAGTTAAATAAATTAAATTTTAATAGTTGAATTGTACCCTGGAATTAGTCTCTAGAA